GTGAGCCATTTTCTTTTTCTTTTCTTTTCTTTTTTTTTTGAGATGGAGTTTCGCTCGTTGCCCAGGCTGTAGTGCAATGGCACAATCTCGACTCACCACAACCTCTGCCTCCTGGGTTCAAGTGATTCTCCTGCTTCAGCCTCCCGAGTAGCTGGGATTACAGGCACGCACCACTACGCCCAGCTAATTTTGTATTTTTAATAGAGACAGGGTTTCTCCATGTTGGTCAGGCTGGTCTCGAACTCCCGACCTCAGGTGATCCACCTTCCTCAGCCTCCCAAAGTGCTGGGTTTACAGATGTGAGCCACTGCGCCCAGCCGGGAAACCATTTTTGAAAGAGGCCTTTCTTCTTGGTATCTCGGGCAGTGGTGACATAAACTTTCTAAGATTAGCAGAAAAGCACTTAGATGGGAAATCGGACACAGCATTTGGCCAGTGGTACAATATTCTTGTATTATACCTCACTAACTGCCTCCAACTAAAGATAGAATGAGGCTAAGCACAGTGGCTCATGTGTGTAATCACAGCCCTTTGGTAGGCCAAGGGATCACTTGAGGCCAGGAGTTCGAGATCAGCCTGGCCAACATGGTGAATCCTCGTCTCTACTAAAAATACAAAAATTAGCTGGGCATAGTGGCATATGCCCATAGTCCCAGCTACCTGGGCAGTTGAGGCACGAGAATCACTTGAATCCAGAAGGGAGTGGAGGTTGCAGTGAGCCAAGATCATACCACTGCACCCAGCCTGGGCAACAGAGCAAAACCTTTTTCCTTAAAAAAAAAAAAAAAAAAAATCATCAACGTGTTAAAAATTAAAATATACTTTTGGTCAACAGAACGCTCACAAGATAATACAATCATGTGCCATATCTGCATAATGACGTTTTGGTCAATAATAGACAGCATACAGCATATATGGTGGTGGTCCCATGAGATTAAAATGAAGCTGAAAAATTCATGTTGCCCAGTGATGTTGCAACTGCCATAATATCCCAGTGCAATGCACTAGGGTGTTAACAAAACTACTACACTGCCAGGTGTATAAAAGTATAGTACATACAATTCTATACCGTACATAATACTTGATAAACAATTATGTTACTGGTTTATGTATTTACTATAATTTTCATTGTTATTTTAAAGTATACTCCTCCTTCTACTTAAAAATAATAATAAAGTTAACTATAAAACAGCCTCAGGTGGGTGTTGCAGAAGTACCCTAGAAGAAGGCATTGTCATCATAGGAGGTGACAGCTCCGTGTGTGTCACTGCCCCTGAAAATTTTCCAGTGGGACAAGATGTGGAGGTGGAAGATACTGACATTGATGATCCTGACCTCGTGTAGGCCAAGGCTAATAATATGTGTGTGTTTTGGTTTTTGACAGAAAAGTTTAAAAAGCAAAAAATAAATAAATAAATAGACAAAAGCTTACAGAATAAAGACATAAAGAAAATATTTTCATAGAGCTATACAATGTGTTTGTGTTTTAAGCTAAACATTATTACAAAAAAGTCAAAAAGGTAAAAAAAAATTTTAAAGTTTATAAAGTAAATAAGTTACAGTAAGCTAATTTATTATTGAAGAAAAAAATTAATGTAGTATAGTTTAAGTGGACAGCATTTTATAAAGTCTGCAATAATATCCAGTAATGCTCTAGGCTTTCATATTCACTCACTGCTCACTCACTGACTCACCAAGAGCAATTTGCAGTCCTGCAAACTCCATCCGTGGTAAGTGCCCTATAGAGGTAAACCATTTTAAATATTTCATATTTTTTTTTTACTGTATGTTTTCTATGTTTAGGTACACAAAATACTTACCATTGTGTTACAACTGCCTACAGTATTCAGTACGTGCTGTACAGGTTGCAGCCTAAGAGCAACAGTCCATACCATATAGTTTAGGTGTGTAGTAAGCTATACCATCTAGGTTTGTGTAAATTCACTCTGTGATGTTCCTACAACAAAATCACCTAACTACACATTTCTCAGAATGTATCTCTGTTGTTAAGCGACACATGACTATGCATGCAAACAAGGGAAAATTCTTAAGAGGTCCTAACTGAAAAGCATTTATTACGAATCATTCAACATAAAGTTCCAGGGGAGTTGCATGCTGTTATTTCACACTCAATCTGTGGCTTCTTGAGACTGCAAATTCCTATTTTACATTAGACTTTACAGGTCACATGCCAGGTTGTGCTGTTTTGGCTAATACTGTTGACTGCAAATGACCACTGGCCTATCAAATCCTATTGTCTGACATCATTAAGATATCTTTTTCAATGGCATGAGTGGTGTCAAACATGGAGACTTACACAGTTGTCAAGTCTCTTTCTAACATATTTATTTTATAGCCCCATTTCCCCCTTTAGAGCCTTTAGGGAACTGCCACATCGTAGGTGTACATGTCACTAGAGAATGTTCACAAAAAGCTAGTACAAGATTTGGAAGTACATATAAAAGAATCGCATGTCCGTGCATATTTAAATTGTGCTTTGAAAAAAAATAGATGTAACACAAATGGCCAAGAAGCATATACAATGATGATCAACACCACTAATTACTGGAGAAATGCAAATCAAAACCACAATGAGTTATCATCACCTGGCCCCCATCAGGATGACTACTATCAAGAAAAAGAGGATATGAATACATTAGACATTTGTGCATAGTGGGTAGGATTGTAAAATGATGCAACCACTCTGGAAAACAGTAAGAAAGTTCCTAAAAACGTTAAAAATAGAACTACCATATTGTCCAGCAATCTCACTTCCGGGTATATATTCATAAAAGAATTATTCATAACAGCCATAAGGTGAAACCAACCCAAATGTCTATTAACAAATAAATAAACAAAACGTGGTGTACACATACAATCAAATATTACTCAGCCTTAAAAAGGAAGGGAATTCTGTCACATGCTATAACATGAATGAACCTTGAGGACATTACACTAAATGAAATAAGCCAGCCTCAAAAAGACAAATACTACATGATTCTATTTATGTGCATTATTTAATATGTGACATAGAATTCATAGAAACAGAAAGTAAAATGGTAGTTTCCAGGGGCCAGAGGAGTTGGAAAGGAAGTTATTATTTAATAAGTGTAGAGTTTTACATTTGCAAGATGAAAAAGCTCTGTTGCTGTTTTACAATAATATGAATATACATAACACTATTGAACTGTATACTTACACTATCGAACTTTATACTTAAAAATGGTTAAAATGGTCATTTTTTTTTTTCTCCCTGTAGAGACCACATCAGAGCTCATAAGACGGTAATTTTTACGTGTTTTTACCACACACACAAAATAAATGTCATTACTTTTAGTTTTACTTGAGATACTGCAGTAAAAGCAATCTAGTCTTTGTGCCATTTTCTTATGGGTTTTAGATATAAGGCTAAAAGTCTATAAGCTCTTCAAAATATTTTCATTTGTTCCATTTACCAAAGGCACCATGTGCTTAGTGCTATATAGAATATATATGTCATGTATTATCTGGCTTTGCAGCATAACTATTTTCTAACAGACTATAAACAATGTTTACAACTAGAAAAAACAAATTATCCCATTCGGTTCAACATATAGACACTACATGCCAATGTAGTGTTTTCCTGAGTAGCCTAACTTCTGAAATAAGCTATATAAAGGTAAGCAACTCTGCTATGTAAGTCTGTCTCTTATATTTGAGGATTTTAAGCAAAATGAAAATAAAGACAAAATTACAAACAAGCAACTAGCCCCACATAGGATCCCTCACTATCAACACAATTATAATTTTAGACCTACATTTCTTTCTCCCCAAGTAAAAAGTAAGTCTCTAAAGCATTGGTTCTTAAAATTCTTTTGATTTACAGCTATGTGACATAAAAAAGTTACAAAATGGTGCGTACATGCATTCTTCTGGAGAGTTTCAAATAATTTGGTTCCTAAGAGTCTGTGACCCAAAGGAAACACTAAAAACCTTAACTCTAGATACTCACATTTCGGTCAAATCCATCTAAGTGTAAACAGAATGGTAGCTTCAAGAGAATTCAAATTATTAAAGGAAAGGTATGAATGTCCTAACACTGAGTATATTTCGAAGGAACAGGATACTTTTTCACTGTTGATGCTAGAGGGCTTCCATGAACCCAGGTCAACCCCTGACCTAGCACGTAGGAGAAAGTCACAGATATCTTGTTATCCCCAGTGCCCAGCATATCAAGCCTGACACGTAGCAGGCTATTTTTCTTTCTTTTTTTTTTTTGAGATGGAGTCTCGCTGTGTTGCCCAGGCTGGAGGGCAGTGGCACCACCTTAGCTCACTGCAACCTCCACCTCCTTGGTTCAAGCAATTCTCTTGCCTCAGCCTCCTGAGTAGCTGGGATTACAGGTGTCTGCCACCACGCCCGGCTAATTTTTGTATTTTTAGTAGAGACAAGGTTTCATCATATTGGCCAGGCTGGTCTTGAACTCCTGATCAAGTGATCCACCTGCCTTGGTCTCCCAGAGTGTTTGGGATTTCAGGCATGAGCCACCGCGCCTGGCCTGTAGTAGGCTCTTAACAGATGTTTGATGAATAAAGCTGGATGGTGCCCTGACTGGAGATGAAGAACTCTATCAAACTAAGGAAGCAGTCCACAGTAAGATGACACACTAGGCCACATCCAGGACACATATAAGTCATAAACATTATGCCCTGAGGAAGGTATTTCTGGAAAGTATACCATTACATAGAGCTAGATAAATGGAAACAGGCTGAATTTCACAGAACTTACTTATATTTTCTTTCCTTTATTTAAAAATGCTTACTTTGGGGAAGGAATAAATTACAGATTACAGTAAAGCCCTGACAACCACTATAGTGGAAATAGTTTTATATTTCAGTGAATTACAACAATAGTCTTCCAAACTGAGCATCTGATGTATTGAGAATAGCAGTTGAGGAAGTAATCAATAGTTAATCACTTTAGTGTACTTTTTGCAAAATGTTAAGAAGCACCATTCTCACCTCCTGTTCTACAGCCTTCTGAGGTTCAGGACTATTGCTGACCTAGGAAGAGGGAAGATTATAAAAGAGAAAAAAATTACGTGTTTACTAGGTTTTAACATAGCTGTATCTTTGGCTTGTACTATCTCCCAGGATACAAGATTCATCTATTATCTACTGTGTTTAAAATGAGAGCTTGGAGGCTTTGTTTTCTTTTGACTTAAGCTGACCTTAACACTCTAGTTGAAGTAATATCATGGTTCAGAAGCCACCACTTGGATCAATGTCTTATCAACATGCAGCTCATTATTTAACCTTTTTTTTCTACTTCCACTACCTTATGAAATCTTCTTGATGTTTATTCCAGTCCAGTCCCTTTGACTATTTAACATACCAATATTCCAGTGTAGCATACTCAGAAATGTTTATCACACCTCCTTCGATCATTTCTGAATTAGTTAGATAACACTAATGATCAAAAGATCACTAAAATCCAAATCCTTTTTCTTTTTTTTTGAGATAGGGTCTCACTTCTGTCGCCCAGGCTGGAGTGCAGTGACACGATCACGGCTCACTGCAGCCTCAACTTTGCAGGGTTCAGGTGATTCTCCCACCTCAGCCTCCCAAGTAGCTGGGACTACAGGTGTACCCCACCATGCCTGGATAAATTGTTGTATTTTTAGTAGAGATTTGGTCGCGCCATGTTGCCCAGGCCGGTCTCAAATTCCTGAGCTCAAGTGATCCACCTTCCTTGGCCTCCCAAAGTGCTAGGATTACAGGCATGAGCCACGTGCCCAGTCCCAAATCCTTTTTCATAAAAATCTATTTATTCATATTCTTTATTTCCATCTATACATTTTCCCTCTATGAGATGGATGTGTTTCTCTTAAATACAAAGCAACAGTTTTAAATACTCTTGGTCTGGAAATTCATCAAAGTCTTCTTGAAATGCTGCTAGCTCTCAGTTATGCCCTTAAAAATACACAGATTAGGCTGGCCGCAGTGGCTCACACCTGTAATCCCAGCAGTGGCTCACACCTGTAATCCCAGCACTTTGGGAAGCCAAGGCAGGTGGATCACCTGAGGTCGGGAGTCCGAGACCAGCCTGACCAGCATGGAGAAAACTCGTCTCTACTAAAAATACAAAACTAGCCAGGCGTGGTAGTGGGCGCCTGTAATCCCAGCTGCTCTGGAGGCTGAGGCAGGAGAATCACTTGAACCCAGGAGGTGGAGGTTGCAGTGAGCCAAGATCACGCCGTTGCACTACAGCCTGGGCAACAAGAGCAAAACTCCATCTCAACAAGATAAAAAATAAAAAATACACAGATTAGCAAGGCATGATTCACTTTATAGGAAACCAGACTGCCTCTTCTTTAATAGACGTGGTTTTTTCCCCCCTAGCTTTATTAAGATATAACTGACAAATACAGTATACAGTTAAGGTGATTTTTTAAATACATATTGTGAAACAATCACCACATTCAAGCCAATAAACACAACTAGCACGTCATACTTGTTTTTGGTGGTAAGAGCACTTAATGTTTATTTATATGATCTTTGATTCTGGATTCTCATAATCTTTAATCATTCTCTTCATCAAAAACCAGGTAAAAACTTGGGTAGTTCTCTCTATGTAAAAGTAGAAAGATCGTCAAGATATGTCATTAAATGAAAAAAAAAAAAATCAAGTAGCAGGAAAATACTTATAAACCCACTTATCTTAAAAAGACATTATATCTATGTGCACCTGTAAAGAAAAAGGCCAAGGATTCATCAACTATTTACAATGACGGGGGGGAAATGAAATTTAGGGCTGAAGAAACTTCCCATTCCTCCTCTATATTATTCAGTATTACTAAAAATTGTGAAACTGAATTAATATAAATTTTTTAGACACAGGATCTTGCTATATTGCCGAGGCTGGAATGCCATGGCTATTCACAGGCACCATTATAGTGCACTGCAACCTGGAACTCCTGGCTTCAAGCAGTTTTCTCACCTCAGCCTCCTGAGTAGTAAAATAACTGTTTTCTTTTTTTCTTTTTTGTTGAGACAGAGTCTCGCTCTGTTGCCCAGGCTGGACAATCTCGGCTCACTGCAACTTCCACCTCCCGGGTTCACGCCATTCTCCTGCCTCAGCCTCCTGAGTAGCTAGGACTACAGGCACCCGCGGCCATGCTCGGCTAATTTTTGTATTTTTAGTGGAAACGGCGTTTCACCATGTTAGCCAGGATGGTCTCAATCTCCTGACCTCATGATCCGCACGCCTCAGCCTCCCAAAGTGCAGGGACTACAGGCGTGAGCCACCGCGCCTGGCCTAAAATAACTTTTTAAAAGAAATATGAAGGCCTGTTTTAGAAAATATTTGGACCTCTGAGCACCTTAACAACATTTCTAGTACATGGCACTGTGCCTAATGCAGTGAGCATCAATAAATTTTTTTAAGTGAAAAAGGTAATTTTTTCAGTAGAAAATATGTTAAACAACTTCTTCTATTCTAAAAGTTTGTTTAAACAGTAAACATGAGTTTTTTTTTTTTTTGGGAGATGGAGTCTCGCTCTGTCACCCAGGCTGGAGTGCAGTGGCACGATCTTGGCTCACTGCAACCTCTGCCTCCTGGGTTCAAGTGATTCTTCTTCCTCAGCCTCCTGAGTAGCTGGGACTACAGGCGTGCGCCACCATGCCCAGCTAATTTTTGTATTTTTATTAGAGACAGGGTTTCGCCATGTTGGTCAGACTGGTCTTGAACTCCTGACCTCAGATGATCTACCTGCCTTGGCCTCCCAGAGTGCTGGGATTACAGGCGTGAGCCACCACACCCAGCCTAAACATAAGTATTAATAAATACCTATGTGCCAATTACCTCAGATGAAGTCACATTTAAAATACAATATTTAAACACCATCATTTTGAAAGCACTGCTTATTTACATTTTTACCAGTTTCCAGTCTCAACATACATAATAGGCATCTTGGTCAACAAACAACACAATAAAATCTTTACCCTTCTTTTCCTTCAAATCCTAACAGTCACCTATGGGTGGTTCCTAAAGTTATCACGTGAAGATATATGTGAGGGAAAAAAGCTTATAAGCAAAAACTGAGTTTATAGAACAAATTCCTTATCCACTGTCAAAAGCAAAAACAATATGAAATATTATAACACATAATCCATTTTTTCTTAAAACTCTACTTTTATTTTACCCTAGTATGTACACTAATACAAAATTCTATAAAGGAGGTATAAACTAATGGAAAAGCCCAAACCAGAAATAAAAGAATGAATAGTGCCTAGATCTTGGTTCCTAAATACCTTTCTCCCAAAAAATGTGCCAGAGCTCCTTTGAGAAGTAGTCCAATTTTTAAGAGTGGGGCAGGGAAAATACAACAGCATGGAACATCTTATGGTGCCAATAAGGAAGAAAGCACTCAAAAAGGATGGGGTATGTCAAAAGAGCACAGGAGCCATCCTGCAAGAGCTCTCAATGTCCAAAGCTAGAATAATTTGAGAACCCAAAGAAATGATAGGTTTGCATAGCCCACAGAATAAAATATATACATATATGCGTGTATACATACGTATATGTGTGCGTGTGTATATACACACATATATATAATCTCCATTGAATCCAAACTGGAATGGGGGAAGAAGACAACTCTCCCTGACAGAAGAATTCCAATTAATAAATGTAGAATGAAGAAAACAGAAAATAACTATTAGCAATATTTTACTAATAATTGTTATAGGCAAAATCCACTGTGGATGCTAAAATCAGTGAATGAAAGTTTGAACAGAAACAGGATATCTACATAGTCTCAAAGTATATCTACACCAAGACACTAGATTCTGTTGTATTCTCACCAAAAATACATAACCTCAATCTAATAATGAGAAATCAGAGAAGCCCAAATGGAGAGACATTCTACAAAACAACTAACCAGTACTCTTCAAACATCTCAAGGTCCTGAAAGACAAGACTGAGGAACTGTTACACGCTGGGAAGACTGGGGAGACATAATGTGTAAATGCAATGTGGAAGCCAGGTGTGGTAGCTTATGCCTATAATCCCTGCACTTTGGCAGGCTGAGACAGCAGGATCACCTCAGGCCAGGAGTTCGAGACCAATCTGGGCAACCTAGTGAGGCACTGTCTGTAATAAAAATTTTTTTTAAAAAAAGCAATGTAGGATCCTGGGCTGGATTCTGGAAGGGAAAAAGGATATTAGTGGAAAAACTGGTAAAACTCGAATACAGGTTTACCTAACAGTATTGTACCAATATTAATTTCATACCTTCGATGACTGTATTATGGTTAATGTCAGGGGATGCTGGGTGAAGGGTATATGGAATGCTGTACTATTTTTACAACTTTTCTGTAAGTCTAAAATTACTTCAAAGAAGTTATTTAAAACTGTGAGCTTTAACTTTTTAAATTACACATGCATTTTATAATAGGAATTGTAAATAACAATAGATATGATTTAACTACTATAGAGACTAAAGCTTGTGGAAACTAAACAAATAGGAATAATTTCAAAACTTAACCACAAATGGAGGAGGATGGAAAATTCTCTCAACAAGAATGCTGGCTCTGTTTAGACATTTCCTGTTCTGCATGCTAAGCACATCCCCTGAAGAATGCAGCACACATTGACTGGCTTTACATACCAAACTCTGCTAACAAGAGCTTCTCACAGCAGTTTACTAAAGTATCACAAGTCATGTGATTTTATGAGAACTCTCTGAAATTTTCACAAGTAGGTGTCCATCCAATTGGTTTAGTTAGTTAAAATTGCTTTTCTCAGAATTAAAGGTCACATTCTACTAATAATCAACAACCAAGGATGCTCTTCAAAGAAAAAAATACTTTTTTGGAGCACATATGTATACACATGCATATGTGTGTGTGCATGCTGTATGCCAGCCATATAATTTTCATGCTGCTTTGTAGGCCTTGGTTGGTTATTTACCACAGTATGATTTGTAACTGCAAATAATACAGCAAAAGTCTAGGAAAAACTGAAGCTGTCCCAGCAATGAAGGAGATCTGAGTTGTAGCTGGGA